TACGTCTATAAAAAACAAAGCTACTTGCTGCTTATACTTTAAACATAGAATGCTTAGTGAACACATTTTTCCAAAATTGTAACTGCTATAGGGACAGCTTATGGAAGCAGTTGTGCGATGTGGAAATTCTCCTGACATGTGTTCAGACATGAACCTTGGTTGTCTCTACACCATGATAAACCCAACTGTGATACCGGCTAAATCTGAACGTCGAATTGCACCTTCCAGTTTGAGATTGTGTTTCACAAATAGAGGTGCGTTCGAAGGAATCCATGAATATCGCAGCACCATGAATTTCCCAGATGACTGTGGCCATCAGGTTCTTTGTGATTACAGTATTTCTCCTGCAAGTCTCCCACTCTGTTACTCAGGTATTTCTTCTTCGTGCTTAACCAACTGAACACAGCATACTGCATCTTAAATTGATGTACAGAATATTTTTTTTCTAAATATAATATTTACATACCACATGCAACCAAACAACTAAACCAGATTCGTGTTTCAGAAATCACAGGATGCGTGACGCATATAACAGAACCACTTAGGGTCAATTCTGATACATTTATGTTCCAAATCTATCTTGAAGACATGAGGTATGCTTCGAAATCAGTTTATGTTTTATACGTCTGAATGAAAGTTGGTCTATATTAACACTCATTATTTGTCTTCCAACTTCATAGTGGAAATAAAGGACTTGTGAGCTACATCGGAACGCGGATTAAACAGTTCATTCATAGTGCTGATGGAAGCGAGGTGCATTATCCTCTGATCATGACAGCAACAGGCCTCACCCGAAATGTCCACGAATTCACCCATATTCCGCCGTTTTGTTTCGTGACATCTCCTGGGACCCGTCTCATTGTGCAACCATACAATGAAACGACACATCTTTTAATGAACAGGCATGCTATACTATTTGTATCTTTCTTTTCATTATATGCATCTTCTTCTACCAGTTAGCTAATTAAACACAACAAACCTTCTAGGTTCTTTCATAACAGATTGCCAGTGGACATCATTGACTACAGCTCGAAGGAGCGCCTTGGATACCTTCGGCGCAAGATTCCTCCCAGAATTTCATTGCTAGAATTGAAGAACAAAGTTCCATTAGGAGAAATAGAAACTGAGGTGACTTTCCTTACCTTCTTTGTGCAACTGTAGATTGTTAAGAAAGTATATATTGAAATTATCAAGCATTCTCATGTCCCCTTCCAAAAAAAAAAACGTTATTAGTTATTCAAAAAAACTGGACTTTACATTTTCCCTAATTCAATCCGTGTGACAGATACTCTATCGATGCAAATTGAAGATACTTAAGTTTCATCTTGGTTCTGAGACCTGCAAAACTTTTCCTGGAGACACTGAGTATTTCCAAACTACGTCTACTTTTCTTTTCCTTATTGTTAAGTAACAGTTCATTGCTACCACATCTCTAATCTACGTATACGTTTAGATTGTACTACGAATTGCAGGCTGAATGCGAATCAGGAAATCACACCGCAAAAATTGTTCTGAATCATGAACCTGCTCTTGCTCTAATCCGTATGCCACCGCTCGAGTTCCAAATGATGCCATATGACGAGAGAGTTGAGTTGGTCAAAAAATACTGCAATGTTCAGCTAATGGCAGAACTGTACATCGTGGGATCAGAAGATTCAGATGAACCACACATCCGCATGTTTGCGATTTGGGATTCAAAAGCATTTCAGCCATTGCTAGAACTTAAGCTGCGCGTCTGACCAAAGTCCTTACTTTGCAGTCAAAGGAGGTACATTCCTTCCTACTTTTGTTTTGCATTCAGTGGAACATTAGTGTTCTTGGGCACAACCATTTTTTGCGTACTAATAAATAACCACATGTCTGTTCTTATTGCAGCTCTTAGGACTAAGGAATGAATTGGGTTGTTGGCTGAGGAAGGATCAAAGTAACGCAGGCCCAGAAGACATGGATTGCAACATTATTTAGTTAATTCGATCTTTTGAGAATTGGAATAGTCCATCTATATTTCCATTCTGAACATAAGCTGTTCTGGTACGTTGTGTATGGTAGCTACCCTTTAAGCTCAACCATCCAAATAGTTCAGATCTAAACAATGTACTTGGCAATGCATGTTCGTATTTTATTCGTCTTAGTTACGCCCTTTCTGCAGTGTCTTTCTTTTACATGTGTTTGAGCTGTTCTGTCTTCACTCTTGTGTCGTTACTGTTCTGGTATATTAGATCTCAAAATAATTGCAGATACCATTCACCAGATCTTATTCGCTATCTACAGTGTACTGTGTTCCTAATTTAACCTCCCTTAATTCGGCTAGAATCGGTCATTCCCTTCTAACCTCAGTGTTAGGATGTTTTCCCCATTTGCTCTACTGTTGCCTCAGTTGAAGATTAATATATTCCCTTCACACCACTTGTCTTTTATTCTTTTCTTGTATGACCATTGTTTATTGTATTTTGGATCATTTTGGGCCGCAGAAACACTGAACAGTTCGAGAGGAATTTGAAGTGTTGTTTTTTTTTATTCAACGTTTAGGAAGATCCCTGCTCTTATCTCACCTTTCATCCTCTCTCATCAACTTTACTCTTCTTCCGCTATTTCCCCACAAGAATCCTAAATCAGCATACTGTTCCTGTTCCACCTTCCTTCTGGTGTCATCCGGTTCGATCTTCGTCCCCAATTCCCTCACAAAAGAGACATGTTTCCGCAAAAGCTGCTTCTGGATTTGAATGGAACTGAAGGCCCAGAAACTGCTCTCAAGATACGACTCTTGCATGTTTGGGGTTATTGCAATCCAGAAAATCCATCCATCCTCTCACAATTTTGCAGTCTTTGGACCGATTCCAAGGTAATATAGCATTTCCTTTAACGTTTTTTGTTGCAATTGCCAGCTCAAATTGTGCTCTTCGGTCATTTCTCTTGCTTCGCCTCCTCCCTGTTTAACAGGGAACCTTGATCCAGGCCATCGCGACACCAAATTTAGGTCACCGATTTGGCGCACACCTGCAACTAGGGTGTGTCTACTTAGTTACTGGATTCCAGCTGGCAAAACCACAGCCAATGTGCCGCCCTTGCTCCCATAGATTTAGTTTGGTCCTTTCTCAGGGAACCATATTTGAGGATGTAACCATGTTGTCACCGGGTTTCTGTGCTGATTCATTTGAGTTTTTTCACTTCAGTTTCTTGCACGGCTTGACTCGCTCAACAAACCAGCTCATAGGTTCACCTGGCAATTACTGTAATCTCATCACATATACTTCACCTGGTGTTTGCACTAATGAATTGACGATCTTTTAAAACCTCTTCAAATGTAGATGTTGTTGGCAGAGTTGTGTCTGTGAGCGGGTTATCCTGTTCGGCAACATCCACTGGTGCTATTATTAGGCGGAAACTGGTCATACAGAACGAAAGGTTTTCAATGCAATGCGATTGTGTACCTTTCCATTTGTAGTTGATTTAACTTAATTCCAATCATCTCCGTCTTGCCTGCACTTGACTATTGCAGAAATATACGTGTTAACATCACCATATGTGGCGATGTTGCTCGATCACTAGATGGAGAAGAACTAGCATACCTTGGCCGCATGGGTTCTGTTATACTTGGTGTATGCAGTCTTCAAGTTACTGACGCCGCAACAGGTTTACACTGCACCTTTCTCCCTCACAGTTAATGCTATTGCTAATCCATTCTACGACGACTCACATCTGCTTTCCTACTTTTACCAAAGTCGGCATTTTTTTAACCAGCACCTCCGCTACACGGTTTGTTTTGGAGCCATCTTCTGAATTGGCAAATGTTTTGCGTGCTACGTAAGTTTCTTACAAGATGCCGTTTTTAGTAATTTACTTTACGTTTGTCTCATCTACTTTCGAATTTGTAGTTCTACTGGTGGTACAGATACGATCCGATATTATCCTCCATGCTTTTCCACTTCTTTTGAAGAGGAAATGTTTCGAGCTGACAGTACCAAGACAATTATGGACCTCATCCGCCTTTCCAGAAATCCAATGGTTGACGTGCGTTCTTTTGGCATAACTTTTACTGTAACAGCACTGTGTTTTATTACTCCATGCCAGGTTAAAGCATAATCTGCACTATTAATGTAGCCAGCCAGTATTTTCATGTTTCAGAATTTATTCTGCCTCACCACTAGATGGATCTGTTTTTCCAGTCCCTTTTCCCAGTAAACTAACAAATTTCTTGCCTGCTTAGCTAAATTTTCTCACCAGTTTTGTTTACCTACAGGCTACCCAGTACTATTGTTTGGCGCAAGTCCTCTCCACTGAGTCTTCAAGATCATGGTTCTACTTAGGATGTGGCTTTTGCTTTAAGACAGCTAGGGAATTTCCTGGCACTGGTGATTTTTTTTGTGAAGAACATGGCCAGCTAAGGGCTGAAGAAACCGAAAATTGGTTAGTTTAAAATCCACTTTTTCCCCCTCAGTAAAGTGGGCACGCCCAATTCAACCCTGAATTTTTAATACATTTTTACAGCTACAAAATTCATTTGGCTGTCGGAGACACTACTGGTTCGGCGTGCTTCGTCGCACTTGGAAAGACCGCTGAATCTTTGCTTGGAGTTACAACAACCGAACTATTGCTGCAGCACCCCCACCACCATGGCCATTTCCCTCCGGAAATTGTGGCCATGAATGGATGTTGGTTTTCGTTTTGTGTGCAACTCCCTAAACCTGGATATCTGGCTCAGACTCCTCTGGAGTTTACTATACTTTCTGCATTCGACCGCAGCCAGCTTTAACAATAAACTAATGGAAAAGTCAACACTTGCGCAGAAAGTCGTTGTGCTCGACCATTGTCTTACCTATATTATCCCAGTATTTAGCAACACCTGCACTTCAACATCAACAGACTTATGTATCCGCGATGTACGTAAAAACTATTCACATGCACAATGACTCCGATTTTCCGTTTACAACTCTCCATTCCCACAATATAGTCTCCCCGCCGCGGAGCGCGGGCTTCCTTACTAGTAATAATAAAAAAGAAACAATCAGCGTGAAAAAGGAGAACAAAACCCTAATCCCTGCAAGCAGCTTAAAGCCTTAAACCCTCCCTCTGGTTCGTTCACCTTCCCTGACTTTCAGTGGCCAGTCCTTTCCTTTCTGGTTGCGTCTCTAAACTCTAATCTGAATTGAAGTGAACCGGTGAGGAAAATCGAACAAACAACCCAATGGTGTGGTTTCAGTGCGATGACTGCGGCGAGGAACTGAAGAAGCCCAAGCTCTCTAATCACTTCCGAAGGTGCTCCGCTTCCAAGGTCCTCTAACCCCTGTTCTTCGCTTTTCTCTTCAAAGCACACAACTTCGATTCGCAGAATTGGGAATTTCTGAATCTGTAGGTCTGTAATTAATCATATAATGCCGGCTATTCTTGTTGCAGCTATCGTGCATTGATTGTGGGGTGACTTTCAGCCCTGATACCGTCCAGGGCCACACGCAGTGCATCAGCGAGGCGGTACATTCCTGCTTCTTTCGCCCCCATTGTTTTCTGGTTGTGAATGCGAAAATGAACTCTGGGTCGCCGGTTTTTGAATAGCTTCTTGCCACCATTTGGTTGGTTGGGAGATTAGTGATGTTTTACTTGGTGGCTTGCAGGAAAAATATGGTCCCAAAGGACAAGGGAACCCTGCCATTAATGGGGCGACCCCTAAATCCAAGGATTCAAAGCAAAAGCCTGATGTCGATATCAATGTTGGTTTGTCCCTCCGCCCGCCATGGTATTGCAGGTGAGCTCATCTAATTTGCTGTTTGCATTAGCACATGGTAGATCAATATAACGTACGAATCACATTGTTGATTGTGTTTTGGCTTTTGCTATAGGCCTTGGGCAATAGATTGTTGTCTCTGACTGTTGGGGGGGCTGATGTACAAATGAGGTTGATAATTCAATCCGAAGATTTGATTCATGCTAGGTTTCAGCTGATATCTATGTTATCCCAGATGACTGGATTGCCATAGTTAAAGCTTAGAATATCACACCTTGCTGGGAATTCTTTTACGAAGATGAGAATGAGAACAAATGGATGAATTCCAAGCCAAGTGGACAGCATTCCGCTTTTGTAATAGATGCGTGGGACTGTGGCTCTTTTGTCTCCAAAATTTATTCAGGCGGAACAAGGATCCTTGTTTTGTAATGCTGCAAGGAGATGGCACTTCCTACTGAATTCGTAGCCCACTTTCTTTTCAATATAGTTACTAGTCATTAGTCAACCCCTTGGGTGTTTTACCAACTACCACTTTCCTGGCAAGACAGGGTTCTTTTATCTGATTTTAAACATTGATCTGTATTGTGTGCTCGGTCATCTCCTATTCATGGGTATCCATGTTTGTCATTGCACCTGTGTCTTAGCTCTGAATAAACTGATCCATGCCATGAACTTATTTAGCCAAACACAGTTATGAATGCTGCACGGAGAAATAGAAGTATCCCAAGCCTATATTTTGTTGTTATTTACCGAGTTGTAGCATCTCATTTTGCTAGTTCTTCTTTTCTTACAGTCTCTGTAATACCCAAGCTACGAGTAAACAGGCTCTTCTTTTGCATGCTGATGGAAAGAAGCATCGAGCTAAGGCACGAGCCTTTCATGCTGGCAGGCAACCTAAACAGACTGAAGATGTTGTACAAGGGATCATCCCCATTGATTGCACTGTTACAGAAAATGGGTCGGGTGAGAAGCCTACATCTGATGGTGCAAATACTGATGGAAAGCTGGAGGATGGGGTTTTACCATCAGACAAGAAAAGAAAACTAGACGTGTTAGATAATAATGGTGATGTTTGTGTGAAAATGGGCAAGGGTGATTCCAAAGCCGAAACACCAAGTGATGTGGTTCAGGTTGGAAGTGTCAACGCCTGTGAAACAGATGGTAAATCAAAGAAAGTCAAGCGAAATGAGATGAGAACTGATAGGAAGTTAGAATCTCTCAGTCCGGAAGAACATACAGAGAACAAGATCAAGTGGAAAAAGTTGATCAAGGCAGCCCTGAAATCTGTATGTACCTTCCCTAACGTTTCTCGAGTTGATTGATGATTCCCTCTCTTTTTTTGCTCTTTAATCTAGCTTCGATCACTGTATCACTATATAACTACTACCATTATTCCCATAATTCAAGTATGGAAAGTGATTCTCCTTGATGCATCTAGTGTACATTGTAACATGCCACGCTATCTTTCTCGTTCTTGACTGCAATTGTGATGCATGTGTCGCAGAATCCAGATGGAGCTATGAAATTGAAGAAATTGGAGAAACATGTGAAGAAGTTGCTCCAGGAATCCGGAAAAGGCGTAGATCAAGACGAACTTGGCAATATTCTTCAGCAAAAGGTACTTCATTCTTGCCTCCCATATTTCTTTGCCAATTAGATGTTACTTCAATTATTGCATGGCTGGAGTCTAATGCTAGTTTTCGTATTTGGAATGGTGTGACAGGTCAATTCAAACTCCAGATTCACAATTGATGGCAAAAACGTCAGGCTTGTGGCCAGAGTCTAAAACTGGGGTCTTGGCATTTGGCAAGGTGATACATGTACTTGGGAGGGATATTCTTGTACCTTTTTTCACAAATCCATTGATGGAGTCCGAGAGGTTTCAGACAGTTTTGCCGGCTGATTCTTGTTTTATTTTGGAATGAGATTACTTGCACAAAATCTGTAGCCTTTTTTCTGGTCTTCTGACCCAACTAAGATTCTATATCTTCATTTTTTTTAAGAATGTGATGTCTTACGATGAATCTCAGGACTTCTGGTTTGCTACTCGAATCTTATAGCTTTATTCATCATGACTTCATTCTCATTTCCAATCGAAATCTTACAAAAGATTCAACCCCGTTGAAATAACAATTTGGCTGGCACGAAATAACAAACTTCTGTGGTGAAATCGATACTTTACAATTGAAGTCTACGTATGAACTAGACACTCTATATAACACAGCCGTCTTCCAATAATCCACCAACTAATTGATGCATTTCTCTTGCACATTTAATTTTGCCCTGGAGTGATCTCAATTCTCGAATGATCAAAACAGGAGACAATAAGCTAGTATGAGCACCAATACAACAGAGCAACCCATTGCCTGCAAGCCAAAAACAGAGGAAGATTCATCTCAGCTCAATACCTGAAGAACTTGACAGTCCCACCAAGAGAGCAGTTAGAAGCATGGTAAGAAAGGGTTCCGCTTACAGCGATTGCTGCTGCAGCAAGGCCTGCTCTTTCCCTGGGATCTTTGCGGTAGTAGTTTCCGAAGTAAAGGATTGTGGCATAGTACCACATGAGTGGGAACAAAAACCCAGAAAGAAAGCTGGAAGCACCCCAAAATCAAGAGCATAATATTCAGTAGCTGCAAGATGTCGAGAGTTTTAAGGGCAAGAAAGAGAGGAGGGAAAGAGAGAGACTCACGAAAACCACCCTATTCCACAACCAAAGCAAGGTAGGGGCTTATCGAATGCACCCCCTGCTAGGAAATCCTCAGGATCTCTGATCAGCGAGTACTTTCCCTTTTCCTGCTCCAATCCACGAGGTGGCGACGGTTGCCCTAAAATCATTTACAAGGTGTATTTAGGATGTCTGTCTATCAAGCAGGAAAATAATGTTTGCCCAACCAAAATAATACAAACATATGAAAGGAAACCTCAGTGGACAAGGAAAACACACAATGGCAGAAGTTAAGACAAGAAAATGTGCACAGATCCTGAAACCAATATTTGGCCCTACGACATTGACAAGAAATGGAAACGCCAGCAATAGATTCATGCGCATTCAATCAGGACTTTGACCTAGGACAACAACAAGGCAGCTCTACAAGCGGATGACCTAAAATCTATTGTTAGTCTCTGCCAACAATCAAATTATATCAGATCCTTCTGATCAAGAGGTGTCTCATATTGCAATTCTGGTAGCTCCAACATAAAAATCTATTAAGGTATAGCATGTATGCGTAAAATGCAAAGTTCACAGTAATCTGGAAACTTTAACTAGAGGAGTCTTATTCATCAATTTTGTCTTGTTTTCTGTCTCAGTTTGAATACATTGTTAGTTAAGTTAGGCCATTTGTTTTGGTAGTTTCTTTCGCAAAATGGGAAGTCTTTTATTACAAGAAGAGGCTTTGTTTTCTTGGATTATGAGTTAGTAATAACCATATAAAGGAGCCTATTCTCCGAATGAAAACAAAACAAAAAATGAGGCTTATTTGAGTTTCTGACTTGTTTTCTTTGAGTGGATTGCTGGATTCTCAACGGAAGTCTTGCTCGTAGATTGAAGAGGCAGCCCCTCAAACCCTACTTTTCTATTTTTTTCCAGATTTTCCACCAACTACGTGGAAACAGAACCCTTCTGTTCCTACTTCCTCTTTGCACTATAGACCCAAGCCAGGTTAGCAGGCATGTATGGACATGAGATAAGATGAATTTCAGACTCCTTTCAAGAACTCAAACTAATGTGATAAGCCGGTTCTCAACGGAACTGTAAGAAACATAATCGAAAGCTAAGAGCAAAAGAGATACATACCTCTAAATACTGAAAGGTTTCTAGCTGCCGGTCTCAGAAGATCCATATGTTTATCCGTGGCAGGTTTCACCAACTCAAGTCCTTTCCTTAAACTTTCCTTCTCTTCAAAGCTTGCATCTGCAGCACCAAAGAAGTGTCGACCAGGGTGAAGAAGAGTTTTTCAATATCAACGGACCAGAGGTAGATGTATCCAATGAAACAAGAAATGAAGCCTGAACATTGTGAACCACAATGTTCACTGATGCCATATCACCAGTCATGTAATTTGTATCAGAATTCAATTAAGTTCTTGCACAAGCATTTTATAAGCAAGCATTTTGTTGCAGGAAAAGAAGTAGGATTTGACTAAGCAGGAACATTCTCTGAAACATTATTATTGAATTACACAATGACAAAGAAGTGAAATGTGGAGGGGGGGGGGGGGCTTTACTTCTATCCATGAGAGGTACAGACGAGCTTCCTTCAGCCAGCATGAAACCCACAAAAAGAAACTGCCAAAAGAGGAGCGAGTCAGTCTTCAATCTCTAAACCCTCGATGCAGCGACAAGGATCATACCATCATACAGTCAGTTACTGGCACTTAATAGAGTATTCAAGATGATCAACGTGAATGGTAGCAAGGGGAGTACATAGAAATTGAATGTTGCTGAAGAAATCATGGGTAAGTTTCTCCATCCAACTCAGCGGAACTCGAACTAAGTATGTAAAAACCACCCTTCCGGTCACTTCCCCATATGATTATGGGCACATTAGAACTAATACAATGCTGCGGGTTGATAGATTGGGAAGCTGCAGAATCGCTTCTTTTGGCAACTTCTTTAAACATCATCAGCAGTTCATGCACAGAAAAGATGCATAAGCTTAGGAGCTGCTATGATCCATCTCCATCGCACACACACTACTCGCCATTACAATTGACAACCAAAATCCAGAAGTATCCAAAAACAGATTTTGGCAGAGCCCACAATCGCAAAAGCTCATCATCGCTCCAAAGAGAAAGATTGCAGCGAAGAGGGTCCCATGAGAAACTCGAACTCTTTCCTAAACTACAACGCCACAAGGGTTGACTAACTTATGAACCGAGCTACGAAGAAAATTCCTCCAAAATCACCCATTAAAAAAGAAAACATCTTTAATGATAAGCGACGAAGGATAGAGAGAAAGTAACTAACTGACCTTAGGAGAGCAGGAACCCAACTGGGTTTTGCGGAGGCTGCGATGAAATTCCGGTGGCAGAGGTCAGCCCTGGCCGGCAGATCAGCGGGCGGGAGGTAGGTACCAAATAAAAAGGACTGACTATGAAGGGTTTCCTGCCCTTTTCCTCCTACTCTTGCCCTTGTCTTTCTCTGGTGATTAGAAGTTCATTAATACTGAAGGTGAAGGGAGAGGTGTGAAGGTCAGGGGAAGGTGTTTTACATGTCAAGCAAAGGAGACGGCCATTGTTAGAAACTTGGAATTTTTTTTTCTCTCTTTAGAGATGAAGCTGTGTGAAAGAAGATTGACCCGTCCCGCTGTCTTCTTTCTTCCCACCTGTTGCGTAGCGGAAAATGACTTCTTACTGATCATAATTACTCTTATCTACGAAGTTTTATTTTCTCTCAAGAACGCACATAACATCTTTGTTTTAATGTAACATTACCTAATTTCTGTCATAGTGTACCGTAGAAATTAGTACCATCATAATATTTTACTAGTATAATTGATGTTCAATCAATCGATTTCATACCCCAAATAATATCCACCCTCTTTAGGAATGACAATGTACATGTCGGTAGATATTTTGATACTTATAAGTCATATACATTTTCTCGCTGATTCGGTTCAAATCGAATAGTTTACTTTGAGATGCAAGTCGGAAACAAATAGATTAATAGGCATGTACTTTAACGAAGAAAATACTTGGCATGTTAATTATTTCATAAAAAAATTCAAGAAGCAAACTAATGACTTGATAAATAAAGTTAAGTTATTCGAGAAATAAATATTCTCACCTAATTATAATTTTATTATAGTTAAAATATGATATAAAAAAATAAGGGTAAATACAATATATTAGCCACAACTATTATGAAGCAGGAAATTATAGCCACATCTATGGAAATTCAAATTATTAGCCAAACGTTAACTTTCTGTTAACAATTTATGTTTTAAAGTTATAAATTAAAAGCAGTCCGACGTGGTTGTTGTCGTGGCCGATGACGTGGTCTTCTCCTTTAAAAATTCAATGATAGTAACGGACAGTTAGTCATATTTTGATCCGCAACAATAGTTGTGGCTAATAAGTTAAATTTACATAGTTGTGACTATAATTCCGTGCTTCATAATAGTTGTGGCTAATATATTGTGTTTATAAAAAAATAAAAATAAATTTCTAAATTATTTAAATAAAATTACATAAAATTTAAATAATATGGACATGCCCACCTCACCTCGCTTACAAAATGTATAATTTAAACAGAAAATTTAGATAGATGAATCCGATCGAAATTGCCATAATCTCATCTCAATTTTTTTTTATATAGCTGTAATCCTTTCCGTGGAGAAAAAAGAAACACGAAACCAAATTCACTCAGAGAAATATAATTGTCGTTTTGGGGGATTAGTAATGGAAAACGACACAAAAAGGGAGTCTACAAAAGCAGGGAAAGGGACGACGACGCACGAGGCGCAAAGACTTGAGCCCTCCTCGGTTGGACTCTCTCGCCCAAATCTCCAATCATTGAGGATTCATTCATTTCTCCATTTTAAATTTATTTCGAATTTTATAACACAAGACAACAATAGAGGCAAAAGCTTTGATGCCTCCACCAACTCGGTTTGGTTGGACATTTATACATCTATCTATAAGACATCCACCGGTTGTTAGTTGTTACGAAATAAAATATAGGAATGGAGTTGTGCACAACATTATATAATTAGAGGCGCGTCGATACGATAATGGTGAACGAACGATGATGTGATGTTAGAGACGACTAGTGGTCAATACCAACAACGTATGGTACTGTTGACGATCCACTAATTTCAATTATCTATCGTGACCAACTAACCACCACAACAACTACAAATTATCCACTATAACATGGGTCGATCACGCGACATCAAAGAAATGTTGGGCACGCACATCCAACATTTTATTTTTGGTAGAGACACCCAACAACTATGAGAATTGAGAATTAGTCACAAAATGTACAGTCAAGCCCAAGGAGGTGTCGGAGTCCCGAGCCCACAGTTAAGGGCCAGCAGAACGAGGGCGCTCACAAGAGTCCAAGCCCGCCACTATGAGGCCCTGGAAAATTCCATAGGCCCAAGGAGTCCAGCCCATAACAGGTCGGCAACTCCGTTTCACAAGTCACCATCCGTCCATCCGCAGTCCACGCGGTCGCTTTTTTTTAAATCCCGTAAATCCGTTTTTCCCGTCAAAGGTCGGCGGGGGCGACAACCGCCACTCGCGCAGTGAGCCACTCACAGCGTCAGCGATTGCCACGTATGCCCGTTCGGCACCCTCCTCCTCCGCCACGTGCCCTCGCCTCCGCGCCTTTTTCATTCCTTCTTCTTCGGACTTTCTCCTACCTTCCTTCTTCACACCATCAAACTCTCGCACCGTTCTACCCACAGCCCCTCCTTTCTTCTCCCGCACTCTTCTTCTGATTGCCTCCATTTTTTTTTAGCTTTCTTTTCATGGGGAGGCCATTCTTTAGTGACATGGCTGCTGCTGGAACCAACGGCCGCGGCGACGACGGCGGAGATCAGGCGACGAGTCCCGTGGTGGACATTTACCCTCTCAGTAGCTACTACTTCGGATCGAAAGATGCTCTTCCTTTCAAGGACGAGACTCTCGCTGATCGCCTCTACAGGATGAAGTCCAAGTAACTTCGCCCCCTTCTCCTTCTCCCTTTTCCGTCTCTCTGCAATTCTTAATTTGTTGTCTGCTTTGATTTCTAACGAAAGCTTAATTCTCTGTTTCGCTGTAGCTACAATGCTCAGGGGTTGAGGACTTGCGTCGAAGCTGTTATACTGGTGATCATTCTCAATCTCTATTTCTCCGATTTAGGTGTTATTAGGGTTGTTCCCGCTTGATTGCTGAGATTTTAGTGATGCACGTTTGATTGGGCTGGAAATGGCTAAAAAACGTTTCTGTTCGTTTGGGCCCGACAATTGTCAAATTCGGAATCTTTAGCTGATTTAATTGTTATGCTTTTGAGTTTGATACAATTCGATATCGAAAAGAAGATGGGTTTGTAGTAACTTACTAGCTCTTGAACTGAATTTGGAAGGGTTGTATGTTGTTGTTCCGAGCTGATTTTAGGTGGAGTTGTTCAAACACCCGCATCTGCTGCTGCTGCAAGAGAGGAATTCGTTCTTCAGCCTGCCTGGAGGCCGCCTTAGGCCGGGCGAAACGGGTGGGTCTTTTGGTTTCTGTTGGGGCCAACAGTTGGATCCAGCTAGTGTGCAGAAATGGTGTTTGTTCTGAACTAGGATGTGTGTTTTGTTTGATCCTTTTCGCAGATGTCGACGGTTTGAAGCGTAAGCTGAGCAGGAAGCTCTTGGTCGATGACAGCGAAAATGATTGGGAGGTAATTGATCTGTTGTTCACTTTCCCTTGATGCTATGAAGTTGTTATTGTTAAAGGGTCTAGGTAGTCATGCAAGCTATTTTCCTATATAATCCAGGTTGGGGAACGCCTTAGTACGTGGTGGAGACCGGACTTCGAAACACTAATGTACCCGTACTTACCGCCTGCCACGAAATCACCCAAGGTAGTCAGTCGCCTGTGGAACACCAGTGCCCTCATTGAACTGTGATTGTTTCCAGCTCCTTGTAGTAGCATTCTCTTACGCGGTTCTTACTTCACCCTTGTTGTGTAGCAATGCACAAAACTATTCCTAGTCAGGTTACCAGAGAGGCTGGACTTCATCGTGCCGAAAAACTTCAAGTTGCTTGCTGTGCCACTCTGCCAGGTCCATGGCAACCAAAAGGTACAATCTGTTCTTTCCTGAACTATCTATGGAAAAACAGAACACTAGCTGATAATGCGTGTTTCGCTGTATTGTAGACGTATGGACAGATAATATCGGGAGTACCACAGATGCTATCCAAATTCTCCATAAACAGGGTGATCCCATAATGATGCAGAACTGACTATAGTGGGAATGAAATAGGTTGTAAAGTAGTCGCTATATCGACATGAGAGAGCTGTTTCCACGCGAAACCGGGTTGGCAGAGTGCGTCTGTCTCATACTTGCAGACCTTGAAACTGTTTTCCTTTCTATCTTCGAGTGTATGTGTGTATTGTATACAGGGATAGGTATGGCTTTTGAGCTTATAGTAGAAGGGTTAGAATGTGCGACAGGGTATACATCAGCTTCCATTGTAAAGATGGTTTCTTTCTTCTGTATCTGTATGACTTTATGGACCGCGACCGGTATTGTAGTGAATTTCGCTTAAACGGCGGCTTGGTGAGAGATTTTTTGTCTGTATTTCTTCTAGGTAAACTACTACAGTACTACTTGATGAATCCATAGATGATTTTGGACGTCTGCTTCTCATTCAAATCGACAGTGACATGTTGCTCGAGAGAGCTTTGAGGTTATGAAAGATCTTCAAGGTCCATATACACACGGGGACACACCAAACGAGCTATGGATTCATGGATTTTAAAAATCGTGGGAAAGCTTGTACAAATCCAAACCCTACCCTCAATTCATTGGTTCTTGCAATTCATCTGTGGGGAGTAATTTGGTCTAAGAAATGCATTTCGCACGGGCCAAGCGGTTAGCAACATAATTTGGACTGATTTGGACCATACCGAATAGTCAATATGTTAATAGCGACCGAAATTGACACAAACTATTGGGTAGAGCTTCTTCCCGAAATTCAATTCAGGCCGATCATTATTGTTCCCTATGAGAATAAATGATGTGTTGTAGACTTGTAGTGTTCATATTGTAAAATGTTTTATTTTTCTTTCCTATTAGTAGTTGGTATTACAAAATTGTTGTTATGTTTTGGTAATTCGGCACAATTTCATTTGAGTTTTGTATGCATTTTAATAGAAGGAGACACCTAAAACAAACACACTATATGAATCACTCATAGGTCATAATCCTAGGCACAAAAGCTGAACAAAAACTATTCTAAAAGATTTTGTGTGGCACTGAATCAAGTAGGCTACTAGACACACAAAACTCTAATTTTGGATCTAGAGTTGAGATTATATGAAGATGATCTCAAACATTAAGATTGTCTATCATATCAAAGTCCAAGCCAAGCCACCATTTTGGACGGGAATCGAAGAAGCGGCGAATAGAGGTCTCGCCCCATAATGATCGCTGAAAGTGATTGTGAAGTACTTATTGAGCAATTGAAGAAGAGAGATATATAAATAAATCTAAGATGAGTGTTCCGTGAGTTGATTTTACAGAAGGAGATAGTGGAGGCGACGAAAATTTCGTAAGGAAAGCGGATCATACGAATCTTTCCCCCGCATGGAGTAGTTCAAAGCGCAATGCCAAGTCTTCTTGAAACATTTTCTTTTGTTGGTTTATGGATGCTTTAGCTAGTGATGTCCATGTAGACTCTATGGGTCATCCTTAATTGGCTTTGCTATTGAAATAAAGGTGATTAGACAATAAAAAGTAAAAGAAGTGAGAACACGACCCAAACGAAAAACAAACATGATTAAAAACAGTAACGTCGAGATTATTAATTAATAAACTAAACTCTAGGTGCTTAAACGTCAGTACGTCACTATCTCAACATATAAAAAATTGCATTTAGCAAGTAATTGGAGAGCGAAGACTAGACTTTTCCTTTTTCTTTTTGTCTCTTTCCCTCCTAAGCTCGAGCTAGTCTTGTTCTTGTACTCCCTCCATCCATCTCTCTGACGTGATTCAACTCCACTCTCGATCAATCCAATTCGCCATTAATCCAGTAAGATATTCCTCGGTCTTCCTTCCACCGCTCTCCCGACTTCCGGCGGCGCCTCCTGTCCTCTGCTTGCGGAACCACGGCGAGAAAGCACGCACCTGAAGGCACGGACGCCAAGCAACCCCCGCCATGAACAAGAGGAGTTTGAACCCTAACCTCAACCTCAAGCTTTCTCTTCCTCCTCCCGATGAAGTCGCCTTCGCCAAGTTCCTGTAATTCTCCACTCTTCGTATCTATATGTCTCTCTGCTTGCTTGATTTCTGTTCTGAACTCGGAGAATCTCGATCTTATTCTGCTGATGGATTTGCTTCCAGAACACAAAGCGGCACATTCATGGACGGTGATCTGCTCGTCAATCGCGACGGGGTTCGAATCGTCTCTCAATCCGAGCCCGACGCTGTAAGCACGCTTGATATCTTTCCTTATATGTTTCTGCTTTGTGGGAATGGTATCCGATTCAGTGGTTGAAAGTCTCGGTGGTACTGTTTGTCTAATTGTTTGCTTCTTTACTGGATTTTTTCATCAGCCGCCGCCAATTCAGCCCGCCGACAATCAGATGAGCCTAGCTGATATAGATACCATCAAGGTCATCGGAAAGGGAAATGGCGGCATTGTTCAGCTGGTGCAGCACAAATGGACCGGCCAGTTCTTCGCATTAAAGGTTGGTTCGTATCTCCCTATTGATGATTGTTTGCATAGCAGCCTTTCTATTTTCAGCTTACTTCTGGCAGTGGAACGGGAAGTGTATGTTAACAGTGGTTTCAAATTAATTATGAACTTAACTTACTGGCAACATTAAGTTGTGGAAAGCTTCTTTCGGCCTTTTTAATTGCTACTTCAGCTGATTATCTAGCTAGCAATCAAGAACTAGGGCTCTTGTTGATATTTGCTTTCTGGCTTTTAAATCAGTTGAAATTTGAACTTAATTGATAGCATAAGTTGCAAATCGTTCCCCTTTTTGCTTTACTAATTGTCGTAGAACTTTATAAAAGTTTTAATCTGTCATTTCGTTTGACCTCTACCTGTAGTGCATTGAACAAAAATATGTATTTGTGATGCGGATGATGGTACAGAGAGTAGCGATCTTCTTTCGACGAATGTCTACTAATTCTCAAGGTGGTTGAATTGCTCCTGACTTAAGGACCCTGTACTAAGTCATTATCAGGAGTAGTTAGTTTTTTTTTTCTTTCTTAAATAAGATGGAGTGAATAAATGACTCTTGACCTTGTAAATGACTGATTTTTCATTATATGTGTTTGCCAAAATGTTTCCATTTATTACCCCTCCAGCTAACTATTGATGTCCCTGCTTATGTGTAGGTTATACAAATGAATATCGAGGAGTCTGCGCGTAAGGCAATTGCTAAAGAACTTAAAATTAATCAATCAGCACAATGCCCCCACGTCGTTATGTGCTATCAATCTTTCTATGATAATGGTGCTGTTTCCATTATCTTGGAATACATGGATGGTGGTTCCCTAGCAGATTTTCTGAGAAAAGTTAGAACAATTCCTGAACCATACCTTGCTGCTATCACTAAGCAGGTTCGATGGCTTTCAAATTCTAGTTGTCTATGGTTTCAAGACTTTTAGCGCTATCAATTTTCTTATTCCAGATCTGTCCCTGTCAACTCAGGTACTGAAGGGTTTGTTGTATCTTCATCATGAGAAACATGTTATCCACAGAGACATGAAGCCTTCCAATTTGTTAATAAATCATAGAGGAGAAGTTAAGATCACTGACTTTGGTGTGAGTGCAATAATGCAAAGCACATCAGGACAGGCAAATACATTTGTTGGCACGTACAACTATATGTCTGTAAGTAAATCACTTTTGGCCAAAATTTTCTTGTGATAGTCATTCTAGTTGTTTTTGCTACAATGGCCAATAGCCAGCAGCTTGTAAATTGCTAAAAGCATCTTCCTGTTGCAGCCCGAGAGAATTAGTGGAGGAAAATATGACTACAAAAGTGATATTTGGAGCTTGGGGTTAGTGTTGATGGAATGTGCAACAGGTCAATTTCCATATGCACCTCCAGAGCAAGAGGAAGGCTGGGTTAATGTATATGAGCTTATGGAAGCAATCGTTGAGCAACCGCCACCTCATCTGCCTTCTGATCAGTTTTCTCCAGAATTTGGCTCATTTATAACTGCATGGTAATGCTAACCTGCTTGGCTTTAATAAGCCATTTTCACAATATTACTATTTCTGTTTTATTTACGTAAACTTGTTAATCCTCTTCCTGAGCTTTATTACTCGAATAATATTTACTCTTATTATGGTTTCCTTGTATCTGCTTTTCGGCGGCACTAATTTCTACTTGTTTAAGCTCTAGCTATGCTATCCCATAAAGTTCATCCTTACCATTCTTGCCTGCTGCATATTTTTCAGTGTTCAAAAAGACCCAAAATATAGACTGTCAGCACTTGAACTTATGGTACAAGAAATCTCCTCTTGCCTTGTCTCTTGTTATTGGTTCATATGATTTGAGTAAACTCAGAGAAAATTTGACATCTCTGTGTTCTTTGCTATGCAATGACAGTCACATCCATTTATGAACTTGTACAAGGACCTTCATATAGATCTCTCATCTTACTTCAAGAATGCTGGCTCGCCTCTTGCAACCTTTTAAGTATCTGGTAAGTGGAGTACTTAGCCAACTTTGCACAAACATGCCTTGCCTCAATCTGTTGATATTCTTTCCTTCACTTGTTTCCAGTTATGTTTTATGGGTTCCCTCTCTATTTGAGTGTATTGCTCATGGAAAAGACATCACATGAATTGGATAAGGAAAAGAATAGAGTAATGTTAAGAAAAGTAAACACGTTTAAAAGCTCCACTTATCTTTCGTTCAGTGAACTAAAACGATGAATCTTCATGTTCTGATTTGAAAGTAAAAGGAGATAAAGCAATTCCTTCCTAATTCTTTTAATTAAGCATGGTTTCTACCAAAGCACAGCTCCTAGTTCACGGTTCTGTACTGATGTACGCTCTTCTACCAAAGCTTTTTTTACTTTCAGAAATGGCTTAACAGCTTACTATGTAAAAGTTTCCCTGTGCTTTTGAGTCGTGAACCAGTCAATTCATCTAAATTCAGTTGCTGATGAAAGTTGTTTACACTGATTAGATTTGCCACTTCGTACCAGATGCGGCTCATGGAGACTTACTCTGAAATAACTAAAGGGAAGTGTTCTAGTTAAAATTTTGTAAGTTCTGAGAAGTATTCAGCTGCAAAACGCGGCAGGTAAGCAGCAATGTGTCAAGAAGCACCAACTCGAGTATCAAATTGCTCAAAACAATTCGTGTACTGTAAAACGAACTGCTTCTCTGCAGTGTAACTAGCGCGAGGTGTTGTTATCTCTTACACTGGGAGGTGATCCCCCTTGTATAATTTGAGTTGCCAGAGGAAAGAGTACCACAACTTGCTTGTATGACAAACAACAGTGTATTAAGAAAAAAAAAACCACTTTGTGTGAAAGGTGTGTGGCTTTTCTCTTGTTTTTAACACGTTTGTAGTGTACATGGTGTCTACCAACTCTGTTAGCTGTTTTCTCTACTACTTCTTACTCTGTTTTATCCATGCCTAAAGTAGCGCGGTAGTCAAGCAATCGGCTACACCGATTATTTTGTGTATGTAAGAAGCCAAGAATTGAAAGATTTGCTGCTTATCTGGAAGACAAAAATTGCATTGTTATGTTGTATGTGTCGTCACAGATCTTACTGTATATCGTACAAGGACATCAGCCGAAGCAGAAGCATTACCAGTCACGAGACTGAAAGCTTAGACACGAGAGCTGTCGGTGAGTGTCATTCTACGGAAGCAGCTGCAAACGTTGCATTTGCTGTTTGTGTGTAGAGTGGCTAAAAAGGGCCTAAGAAGGTAAGGTTTAGGTCAGGTTATTAGTTGTTACTACTACTGCTGCTGCTGCTGTTTTTGTTGTGTCTTCCTCTTGAATTTCCTCTGTGCTTTCAGGTCCACCACGACGACGGTTATATTGTCTTTGCTCCCTCTCTGTAGAGCAAGGTTGGACAGAGTCTCTGCAGCAGCTTGCGCTGCAGGGTCAGCTCCGGAGTGGTCGGACATCGTCGTTCGTTCTTGAGTATGCCCAGCCTGGCCGTTGTTTCTTCTTCTGTGCCACAGCAGAATTGTTCTCCTCGCAACCTCGCACGCTTCCTCGTTTGTCAACACATCCCACACCCCATCGCTCGCTAAAATTAGGCACTCATCTTCTTTCGCCCTCTCCACGATTCTCACTTCAGGGTCTGGTATAATCGATGGCTTCAAGTATCTGTCGCCTGAATGCCCACGCCGTGGGTTTCAAACATTCAGTTTCTCGTCTCACCGGAGAAAAGGCCAGATAGAAAGATAACTTCCTACTTAAAGACAGAGTACAATCGGTAACAAGAGGACGCGACGCACCTATGGACCTCGACATTGCAAGAACACCCAGAACTCGAGCTCCGTTCCATTGGATCACCTTGCCTCCTGCGCTTTCGATTCGTGCATACTCGTCTTCTCTGTCAGGCTGCCACAAACCACAAAGTAGCATGAATCAAATCAGCCAGTCAGCCCAGTTCACTCACTTTTCTAAGAGAAATGTGAAGAAGAAAGAGATCAAGAGACCAGTCAGTCAGTAACGTACTTTGTGGTCCACGGACAACGGAATGGCTGCTTTGCCGCGGCAAAGCACAGCTCTGGAGTCGCCACAGTTCGCAACAATGATGTGCGTTCTGCAAACCACGGCTACTACGGCTGTCGAGCCGACTGTCTCAGGGGCTACCTCAACAGCAGCAGCATCTTCACCACCACCACCACCACCACCACTGATCTCGGCGTCAACTCTAAGGAAGCAATTGGAGAAGGCTCTCTTCAACGCATCCTCTCCATCCTCTGCTTCTCCAAGCTCCTTGATCTCCTCCGATAGCGCCTCGTGTACTCGCTTCCTGCAGTAGTCAGCAACCTGCAAATACAAAGCACTTTCAGAGTCGGTATCAATAGAAAGACCAGAGGAGGTTTTCTTTTCCGTTGTGATTACCTGAGAGCCACCATGTCCATCATACACACCAAAGAAATGCGCAGTCAAGTCGACCCGGCTCCCCAGCATCTGAGCCGGGATGGTCATGAACTTTGGAACAACAGCCGCTGCATCTTCCATCTCAGGCCTTCTCCCGCAGATAGATGTCATCCCCCATAGCATTAAGCTGTCCGACTCAAACACCCCGCCGCCACGACGAACACCTCCCTTAATCCCTTCCGCTTCCATTGAACCGCAATGTGAGCCAGCGTCACTGCTGCTATTACTACCACTGCAGGATTGATTGCTTTGCGGCAGAGGAGTGGAGTGATATGAACTGGAGAGATTATGGCTGCTAGGAGGAGGGATCGGGAACACGTTTGATCTCTCTGCTGCACGTTTAAAGGTAGGATTGCAGAGCAGGCTGGCTATGCTGAATGGAACCCCGGCTGCTGCAGGGGACATCTCCCCTGTAGTCTTCATTCTTAGTAAAGCGAACTGGGTTCGCAGAGAAAATGGGCAGGGAAACAGAAGGGGGGTGGAAATAGATGGAGAAAACAGAAGGGTCTGGTTAGTTTATAAACGTGAGCAGTTTGGGGGAGCTGGAGGTTTCTCAACCTTGTGGCAAAGGACCAGAAACAGAGAACCACAGAAACCTCCTTCTCCACCTCTCCCCACTCTGTGAACTAACTTTTGGAACTTCTTAGTGGATAAATGCTACAGGTTCAAGGAAGTGATGAAAGCAATGGGGAGTGGGGAAAAAAAAGGGGAAAAGGAAACGGGTTGAAGAAGCGTCCAACCGACGTAATAAAAGAAATAGAAATGGCCAGAAGGAGAAGGAAGGTGAAGTTACAGAGAGGGGTTTGCCTGAATCAGTGGCAATTCATGTGAGCCTCATGAAATAAAGAAGAAGAAGAAGAAGAAGAAGAAGAAGAAAATACCCACCTTTGGTAGCTATCTGTCCCATTGTTACTTTTTTTTCTACTGAACCTAGTTCTACCTAGCTAGCTACCACAACCAAATTTCGACCTCTTCTTCAACTAACTTATCTGATTGCCCAGATGGTAAGGGGAGATTGGAGGGACGGCTAGCTGAGCAGGCTAGATGGTTCCTTTTCCCTGAACCCAGTTCGGTCTAGAGAAGGAAGATGTGAGAGCTGGGTTTGAAACAGAGCTTTTCTTTTATAAGAAGCAGAGGAGGAGGAAGAAAAAGGGAAGGGGGGGAAAGGAGGCAGTTGGGCAATGGCCATGGCGGAATGGAGATGGGATAATGTAGTAAAATGGAGAGGAGACTCGCGGATTTACGAAACCAGACGCCTGAAACCGTCGCTATGCTTTTCAATTCTTTTCTTTTTTTTTTTTTGCCATAGATAGATCGTAGATAGACAGTTGATTACAATTGATGAAAAAGTAAATAGCGGTAGTCGACCGATTGTCGAGCTACCGATGCAAGGGCCGTTTTTGCCACTAAATGGGCAGCCCTGTTAGTCCTACTTTTCAATTCTTTTCTTCATTATAAATTGTTTCTGCATTTGGACAGGAATACACTTTTTGGAAGGAGGGCCTCTGTTTTTTTTTTCTTTCTTTTAAAAACAGAGGATACAAATAAAGAAGTCGAATGGCTTCAAAATTTCGTGGAAAGATATTTCAATTCGACCCGAATCACTAGTTTCATCCGACGAGAATAATTGTGACAGTCAAGAAATTACTGAAAGATTTAGAACAAGGGAAGTCTCACACCATTTATGTCACAAACTGTAGGATAATCAACAAAACGTCTAACTAGAAATTAGTTGAAAATCATTGAGGGGAATGAGATTCGGCCTAGAACAAATCATCATGACGGTAAGTGAGACTACTATATTGGAGGTTCCAAAATCTATTCCTTTTGATGAGACAATTTTAAGAAATGAGGGTAAACCTAAATGAGAAGATTTTTTTAATGATTTCTTAGACTGATACCAAAATTATCAAATGGTTTATTTATGAAATACATGTTTAGACACCACCTATTTGATTGTAAAGTGGAGCCACTTCAAGAATACTAAAAAAAAGTTGGTTTAATATAGGGATGGCAAAAACGATTAATGGCTAAAACCAACACAACAATGAGAGCCTATGAACATCTAAGAGTTGGATGTCAACGACATATATTGTCTTAGTATACAAAAAGATATGTGATTAAAAAAAAGATCGCATCTACCGATAGACGAGTATACTCAATATATGTACACTAGAAAAAGTTCAAATGAAATTTACTTATTACGATACAATGAAATATTAGTTGCGAATCACGACTTTTTCCATAGCTTTCAATACTTAGCACTCTACATTCAAGTGGGGATTATTGGGATTGTTGGTGTGAATATGAATGAAAGGAAGGGAACTCATAAGCTCACTTACACTCTTATAACACATTGGTGAGTTGTGGAAGTGTAAGTGGATACATAAGTACAAAAGCACACTATGGCTAGTAAAAGGTAACAGATACAGAGCATGTTCCAAGGCTTAGCTCAAGAGACTGTGGAAACAAACCATACCTGAGCCCGCCATCTGTAATCTAACAGCGATATTCAATAACCACCAATACATATATATAAATAATATGTGGACTGTGGAAACAGAGGAAAGGTCTGCAATTGGCGTGTAGAGAGAGAGAGAGAGAGAGAGAGGAACATCTCCCCTATTGCATAGTTTACAGGAATACCACCTGTGACTCTGACCTTCGACAAGCAATCAATTCAAGGAAAGTGATGAAAAAAGCACCCGAATGGGTCGACCATAGATTTGTACACATTAAACCTTCAGCTTTTCTATCTAACTACTGCATTTTCTAATCTGCTAGGACTCAATTTGCGTAGAAAAGTCAATTATGAATCTTATATAATTTACTGATACATACTCTCAAACGAAAGTAAATTTATGTACTTGAAGTTTGCACAGATTCATATATAATGTGCTTAACAAACAAGGCCGTCAAAATTCGAACTCTAGACCTATTAACCTATCTAAGGCTCTAATACCATGTAAAGAGCTATTTACTGCCAATAACTTAACAAGCATTTTCTTTGCTCCATATATAAAACAAGTACAAGTAAATGTGATTACAATCTATCTGGAAATCGGAATCAGATTGGTTTTGTTAGTGGCTAATCAGTCGGACGTACCGATTAAATCATTTTACATACTTCAGGCCGTTAAGTTTGTTGGAAGCCGTTATGATTATTGTTTATGTTTGACCCAACTTTTAGAAGTATTATTTTGCTTCAAAAATTGGAGTCGAGCCAAACACCTCTATAAGTCCGGCTTTTGAATAAGTAAAAAATCACCCCGCTTTAAAAAAATAAAAAGTGCTTTTTACAACCTAAAACTAGAATCTCTGATTTGAAGTTTTGCGAAAAACTATTTTAAAAATTCAAGGTTATCATTATCATTTTTTATTTTTTCATTTATATCATTTAAAAACTAAAATAAATTATAAAATAATATTATTTGATAGAAGAGAAATCCACTAGTTTATTTTTTTTATTCACATTTTATATAAGATAATTTTTAGTCATTTTACATGACCTCTGACATTAAAAAAAGTACTTCTAATAGTTAATCGATCAAACACTCAACTGTTTTTTAAGTCCGATCCATCTCTAAAAGTGGCCAGAAGTTGCTTTTACAAAATATACAACAATGTGAAACTAGCCCATTGTTGATTTTTACCAAAGCACCTCTACAAATGCATGTCAAATCACCCTACCTTTTTCCTATCAAATTAGGGATGTCAAAGATATTCATATTCGTGATATTCGTTCGAATCCAATCAAACAAGTTAGCGTACATAAAATCTGAACTCGATAGATTTTTAAATATGTATGGATAAAACCCGTATGCTAATGTTGTGAGTAATGAGTTGACATGATTTTCTTACAATCCAACTTGAACCTACACCCAATTATACACATATATTTCTCTAGAAATGATAATATTTTACTCAATATATTTTATATATTTATTTATTATATATAGTTGATGGTTGTAGTATGGACACATTAGTTCTCACTTACCAATGCAATAAATAATTGTGGTAGTAGGGTTCTTCCTTCTCCAACCTCTCTTATGTTTATGGAAGTGATTGTTTGGTCTTTTGGCCTATGAAATGTAAGAAGAAAAAAAAGCCAAACAAACGAATTTGGAAACAAGGAATGATACTATGGATTTGGTTTTGGCCGTTGGGACAAAATGGAAAGGACTGGATTGAGTGACGATTGATTAGAAATAGTAAATATTGCTATTTATTATTATTCTAAGCATCTTAGTCAGTGGTCACGCACACTGCCACACCCGCACCATCCACATTCATGCATGCACTTACATTGTACATTTTTTATAGTCGTCTTTTTTCCTCTCAATATTGTTTTTAATTTCTTTTTCTATCCGGGATCGTATTTAACACTCCAATCTTTTTTAGATACTATATTGTCTGCTTTGAATCTAAATTCTCGCGGATTTCGTTTTGGGATATAAATCAAGTTTACTTCTTATTTGGATTCTTACAATAACTTGTCCTTTTCATCTCAAAATGCGTCTTATCGGTTAATGCTTATATTTTTTTCTTATGAATCATGAATTTCTTTCATACTTTATCGATTTGGAACTTGCCTAAAATATTACACTACTACACGTACATCTAAAGGAATTTCATTTTTCTTCTATTATTAGGGTTTGTTGTTTCTTTTCTAACAAACATAAACAACACATTTCCTTCTTCATAAATATCTTGGTCTAAACTTTTGTGCCCATGGCTCTGCTGTACACACACTTCACAATCTCCTAACGGTTCAATGCTTTCAAATACTTATTGCTATGATGCTCCCAACACTTAGAAATGGTTTATGAAATACACGTTTAGACACTACCTATGTGATTGTGAAGTGCATGCGTTTCGAAAAGGCTAAAAAAAGTCCTAAAACCAACACGACAATGAGAACTACACACATTTAAGAGTGTATTTTTACGAAACCTAAATTCAGTACAAAATAGTAATGTGTTATAGAGTTTGGACAAAAATCTAGGAATTATGGGAGATAAATCCAAGAGACAAAGAATAGCTCAAACACAATGGAACAAACCAAGTCCACTGAAAAGAGAGGGAAAAGCAACTGAAGAAAACCCACAAATCCAACCCAAAGCCCAACTAAACACTGGCCCAATACACAACCTATCCACAATTAACCCAGCCCCCTTACAAGCATAGCCAAAAAAAAAAAAACTCACAACCATCCACCACATATGAAAGAAGAGGCCGAGAATGGGTTGCTTCCTATACAAGAACTACATAATTAAGAATTATAAACAATAACTAAACTCAATATCTTAAATAACAAAATAATCCACATTATCCTCCCAATCATATATGGAGGTTCCCCGTCCGTTCCCATTCCGTTTCTCTTTCCCTTTTTGACTTTTGTATTCATGAGCCTGGCTTCTTTCGACTGCCGCCGTTGGGGGAATGGATCAGGTCAGTAACCTTATGGTGAGTAACCATGAGTAACCCGTCCACATCAGCATGACATCAGCATCCTCTCTCTCATGGAAAGCCTTTAATTTTTCCCTCTTTAATCTTTGACGGGCGATTTCTCGCTCATTTTAAGTCGAAATTTAATTTTTTTTGCACAGTTAGATCAGATTAATTGTGCTCTTCAAAATGATATCCACTTTAACATATTTTTCGAACAAAAAAAATTGAGTCATTTTTTACCAGCCTATACCATATGGTATTGACTGGTATTGAAATAAAAGCATACCTATGTTTTGAAAAACGTACCATGGTGGTATGAACAAACCAATATTGTAGGATGGTTGAATACATGATAGTAGAAGTATATTAATTGTAATTTACGACTTTTAACATTGTATACCACACAATACCACCCCGTACCAGGGTGGTATTGTATGGTATTGTGTGGTATTTTTTGGTCCTGTAATTTGTTCACCCAGAAATTTGTAGATCCAATAGATCATGATGAACTCGTCCCTTCTGTGCAAACGTTTTCAAAAAATGAATTAAAAACGAAGAAGATACCATACAATACCACCCCGTACCAGGGTTGTATTGTATGGTATTGTGTGGTATTTTTTGGTCCTATAATTTATTCACCCAGAAATTTGTAGATCGAGTAGATCATGATGAACTCATCCCTGCTGTGCAAACGTTTTCAAAAACGAATTAAAAACGAAGAAGATACCATATGGTATGCAGTTGGTACCGAGAGGCCAGAATTTTTTTTTCCTAAAAAAATATTGAAAATTGATCTCATTTTGTAGAGCACGGTGAACTCGTTCCATCTGTGCAAAAAAAATTAAAATCCGAGTTAAAACGAAAAAGATATGAGTCAATTAAGAAAACTAGTGAAAATAAAAATAGCATTTAATTCTCCATCCTTAGATCTGGATTTTCTAAATGAAGGGTCCAGATTTAGTTATTGATGGGTGCATAACCCATGGTTATGCACCCTATCTTGAGCCCGCCGTTGGGCAAAGCCAAAGCC